CCCCTACACACAAACAAACTCACAAACCCGCCCACACGCTCACAACCCGCCCACACTAACCAACCAACCCCCTACACACACAAACAATCTCCCAAAACCCGCCCACACTAACCAACCCCCCCCCTACACACACAAACAAACTCACAAACCCACCCACACTAACCCCCCCCCTACACACACAAACTCACAAACCCGCCCACACTAACCAACCAACCCCCTACACACACAAACAATCTCCCAAAACCCGCCCACACTAACCAACCCCCCCCCCCTACACACACAACAAACTCACAACCCCGCCCACCCACCCGCCCACACTAACCCCCCCCAAACACACAAACTCACCACCCCGCCCCCTCCAACACACAAACAAACTCAAAACCCCGCCCCCCAACACACAAAACAAACTCACCACCCCGCCCCCCCAACACACAAAAACTCAACCCGCCCCCCCCCCTACACACACCCCGCCCCCCCAACACACAAACAAACTCACCAAACTTCACCACCCCGCCCCCCCAACACACAAACAACTCACAACCCCGCCCCCCCCCCTACAACACAACCCCGCCCCCCCCCCCTACACACACCCCGCCCAACACACAAACAAACACCCCGCCCCCCCAACACACAAACAAACTCACCCCCTCCCAACACACAAACAAACTCACCACCCCGCCCCCCCCAACACACAAACAAACTCACAACCCCCGCCCCCCCCTACACACACAAACCCTCACCAACCCAACACACAAACAAACTCACCACCCCGCCCCCCCCAACACACACAAACAGACTCACCACCCCGCCCACCCGACCCACAAACAGACTCACCACCCCGCCCACCGACCCGCAGGTGGCTGGCGGTGAGCAGAACCCGAGAGAGAACCGACGTCTACCACCGAGGCGCCGACGTCTGCATCCGCTCTCTGCTCCTCCCACGCCCGCGCTCGCTCGCCGCCCAGACCTGCTGCTACAGTAGGTGGGTCCCCTTTTTTATTTTTTTTATTTTATTTTATTTTTTTTTTTATTTATTTTTTTTTGGGGGGGGCGTGTAGGTGGGTCCTTTTTTTTCTTTTTTTTTTTGGTGGGGGGGGCGTGTAGGTGGGTCCCTTTTTTATGTTTTTTTTTTTTTTTTTTTGGTGGGGCGTGTAGGTGGGTCCTTTTTTTGGAGGGGGGGCTTGTAGGAGGGTCCTTTTTTATTTTTTTTATTCTTTTTTTGGGGGGCCTTCCTTTATCTTTTTTTTTGGGGGGTGTACGTGGGTCCTTTTTATATATATATTCTTTTTTTCGTCTTCGTAGGGGGGCGTGTAGGTGGGTCCTTTTTTATTTCTTTTTTTTATCTTATTATTTTTTTTTTTTTTTTTTTTTTTGGTGGGGGCGTGTAGGTGAGTCCTTTTTATTTTTTTTATTTTTTATTCTTATTTCTTTTCTTTTTTTTGGGGGGGCGTGTAGGTAGATCCTTTTTTATATATATTTTTTGGGGGTGGTGTTACGTGGGTCCTTTTTTATCTTATTTTATTTTTATTGATTTATATATATATATATATATATATATATATATATATATATATATATATATATATATATATTGGGGGGGGCGTGTAGGTAAGTCCCTTTTTAATCTAACTTATTTTCTTTTTTTTTTTGGGGGGGGGGTCCGGGGGCATGGGTGAAAGATGAGGAGGGTAGGGAGGTTGAGGGGTGGGAGAGGGGTGAGGGGGATGGGGTGGGAGAGGGGTTTAGAGGTTCCCCGACTTGGTGGTGTATGGAGACACTTTTGATCGCTTTAACAGTTTTATTATGTTGGTGGAGGCTGGTAGCGTGGGCGTAGGCTAAATCCCGTGCTGGTTCAGGAAGGAGCAAGGGGTAGCCCGGCTGCGGCGAAGGTGACCCCAGGGGCAGGCCGCGTCCGAGCGGAGACGAGACTCGGGGGGGTAAGGGGAGTGACACCCCAGGAGGGAAGCGTCCGGGTGGAGTCGTGATTCGAGGTCGAGTGTGGGGTGGCGATGAAAGAGCAGGTCACAGGTCACGAATGCTGGGGCGTGGCTAGTCAACCCGCCGCTGTGATTGGTCCCTCAGAGGTGGGGTATGAGAGGAGTAAAAATGGGCGTGAAGACAGAGAAAGAGGGGGGGATTCTATATACATTTAATACTGAGAGAAAGTGGAAGAGAGAAAAGCAGAGAAAGAGAAGAGAAAATAACAGAGAGAAAGAGCGAGCGAGAGAGATAAAAGAGGGGGCGGGAAGGAGAGAGAGAGAGAAGGGGGGTTCTATATATATATTTAATACTGAGAAAAAGTGGAATAGAGAAAAGTAGAGAAAAATGAGAAAATAGGCGAGAGCGAGAACGAGAGAAAGAGAAAGAAAGAGAAAAGCAAGACGAAAAGGGGAAACAATCAGACAAAATCTGGCAAACACAGACTAAAAGAGAGAGAAAACTAGAAGCACTCAGCGCATACCTCCGTCAAGGCAATAAAATCACTGATGCTATATAAATA